ATCATTTATAATAAAAAAATAGGGGTTGATCGTAGAGGGGTGAAAGTTAGGGGTTGTATGTATTTTTTAATGCTATATCATAAAAAAATAAAAACAGAAAAAAATATATTTAGGGGTGGACTACCCTTAACATTTAGGGGGATGAAAAATAGATGTTGTCCGATTCTCAGACATACCCAATATGCACACAAAATTTTATGAGAATCGGCCGAGCCGTTTCGAGGAGTTTAACCACAAACACTGCGACACGAGAATTTTATATATTAGATTAATTAGAATGCCAATGATTTCTATACATAAATATTTTAGTACAAAATTACAAACATCTTGATGATCCATCTCAAGAAAGTATTTAATCAATGTTATATAATACGAAGTACTACGTAAAAGTAGCATTTAAAAATAAAACTACATAGACGTTGGATAGCAATCCCACCTGCGCCCTTACAACCTCTCCTAGCAACCTTGGGACGCGAGAAAAAATATATTTATTAAGATCGGCATCGTTGTCGGAAGTTCCATTAGCGATACCGACAGCAGAGTAAGGGCTCAGGTGATGAGGGACATGCAGTGTTTGCACCATGTCTATCTAATTGGCCGTTGCTTTGGAGTGAGCCCAAGTATGGGAATGATATTTCGTTTAGCTTGCCTCACGAGTGCATCCAGGTCTTCAGGCCTCTTGGCAGTTCCAGTCCAAAGACGAAGGCAGTCATTAACGAATCTGTTGGTAATTTTTTAAACATTTGAATTAAGTACAAATATGACGCGAAAGTACTTACAGCAAACTCTGAGCCTCGCTGTTAATTCGGTCGTAGCGTGTTTATATATCCTAGATAATTGTAACATATTTTTTAACTGTTACTTTTTACTTTACTGTTCTCACTTCTGGGTAGGAGCTCCCCAGTACCAGCTCATTTCACTTGACCGTATTCAACGAAGAGCGATTCGAATCCTCGACGACCAGACCTTTCCGTGCGGCTTGATCCCTTGGCGTTGCGTAAAGATGTGGACCACCATGGACTGTGTTACCATGGAGGAGTTGTTCGGTCTAACACCTGCAGCTGAGTTTCATTATCGGACGTCAAGGCAAAATACAAAATACCATCCGTATCACCTCGACGTCCGTCGTTCCACAACTAAGCGTTTCCTAAGGCCGCTTGCCGCGCACCACCACTATGAGGAATGAGCTGCCCACTGAAGTATTTCTGAACCAATTCGACTTAGGGTCCTTCAAGAAAAGAGCGTACCAATTCTTGAAAGGCCGGCAACGCAGCCGTAAGTGTCCATGGGCGGCGGTATCATTTAACATCTGGTGAGCCTCCTGCCCGTTTGCCTCCTATTACATAAAAAAAACTAACTAGTTATTCGTAAGATTAGCGCTTTCAAACAAACAAACTCCAATAATAATATTAGTATTGATTATATGCCTCGTGCCCTTGTACGCAGGAGGCTGTCTAAATACACGATAATGTCAATCATACGTAGATAATAAGAATTTGAAGAGACCCAAAACGTAATGTTACGTATGTTTAAAAGAAATTATACAGCTCAGTTTACATTGCGAATCCGCTTTTGAGACATCGTTGGAAGAATTGTCAATTAATATTGGTATGTAAAATTACATATAAATTTATGTTAAAAATCGTCTTAAATGTCGTTTGAAATTTTTATCGAACAATAGAAGAAAGTCTTATTCAAGGTTACATTTATTTGTATACTTCATATATTTCGATTTTATTGTATTTATCAGGCATCGAAGTTACTTGTAGTTCGGTTCCTTCTAGTAGGATTATATTGTGTTTAGAAATATCGAAGTTGACAGAAGGCATTGAAAAGTTATAAAATTTATTCTAAATTTTAAATTTTATGTTACTATCTAATAACAAACTGAGAGCATTTCACTAGAAATATTGAGTGAAAACTTATATTGAGTGAAAAGTGTGTTTATTTTTGCTATGCGTTGTGTATTTGACGCATATAGAAGATTATAGCGCAAACGGCCTAAATACCTCACAAACCAATAAGGTTTTATGTTATAATTATAAATGTTTTGATTTAATAATAATCCAGCGGCGCTACCATCCTATACCCTTGGCCTCAGATTTTTTATTGCATAGGTGATCTGCACACATCGTCGATTTTTGGATTTGAGAAGTGCATGATAACATTTAATATATTACGTAATATTGTATCCTTATCTTTTGTGTGTCAGTGACAGAACATTCTTTGAATTTATATAACTTGTATCTTTTACAAACAAGTGATGTGCAGAGCAAACATATTAATTTCCATTTGCCGATTTAAAATAGAATACATTCACCCAATACTTGGAACATACAATAGAATATATAGCCCAGATTAAATTGCCTTGAAAAATATTTATTACTTTATACGCGACTATTTATACAGCATCCATATCCTTCTAGTAAGGTCTTTGTGGATTAAGATTTTCTGAATACAATGAAACAATGATTTAGTTGTGTACATACAGTTCAAATTATTAGATTGCTAATAAAACGAGAAGGTCAAAGATAATCCGACGAACTAAAAGTGGCTTATTCTTAAAAACAAGCAAATGTATGTTAAACATTTAATAATATTCGACAGTGTTCCATAAAGAAATATTCTTATTGATATTTACTAATCGATTGATATTGACTAAACTACTACTTAAACACCTCTAACTAAATTAATTTAAAATGGTTTTAGAAATATTTATAGCTATGAAAATTAAAGACTTCGAAACTATTAGCTGTAAGCAATATCACCTGTCCGGTTTATACCCCATTACATAACAGGATATCATTACCATCGTGCATCGGGACATAATGTATAGGTGTATTGCCTAGCAGATTTTTACCTTTAATAATATTCCAACTTAAATCAACGTGATTAGTCGTTCGTATGAAAATTGCAATAAAAAGAATTAAATATGATTTTAAGGAAAAGTAGTTCCGTTTGTGGACTACAATTACAGCGGAACTGTTGTGTAATTTTGTTATCTATAGAGTGGTTTGTTTGAGGTGTTTACGACTGATATAATTAATCCTAGTTAAGACGAAACTACAATACACTATATACAGCTACTTGTTATGTAGTATAAACAAACATTGTGGCACTGTTTTAAAATAACAGTCTGTGACATATTAGCGCCCTGGTACGATGCTTCGATGTACCAGCGAGTCCCTTGAAACAGCGACTACCCTACTCTAAAAAAAACAATTCAAATTCCAATGACTCTATATTTAGCAAGAGCTGAAATAAAATGTTGATTTCAATAATAACGGCGAATATTCGATTTAATATCCATAGCGCTGATATTGCAAATTTTGAGGTACGAAACCTTAATAATGAACTGGTAATAGCCCTTCAAGTAAAGAAAGAAATTTATGAGTAAACAATGTGTGAGAAATGCTACCAAATAATAACTTTGATTAAATTTTAGTCTACACTATACTAGTTTAAAAAATATGTTTTTAAGCGAACTTATAACGTTAACCACAAATCTATACGTAAAAAAACTACTCGGTCGAAAGTGGGATTTTTATAAAATTAATATAACCGTGAATCGCGAAATAAATTTATATCACGCTGGGCATTATGATGAAGCGAAATCGACCAATTACACGCTATTGAGTTTACATTTATGTCTAGGTACTGCTCCAATCATCAGACATTTTATTATGTGAAATAAACTGAGTACCAGCTGCTTTTTGACCTTGTGAAACTAGATGTGACCATGCCATCTTATAGCTATTACAAGAAGCCACTTTTTTAAATTACGTGCGTTTTGATTTAGTGTAATAGCCGTTTGCTGCTTAAAATTTAGGCACAAAGAATAACGTCTTCAAAGTTGAATATATTATTTTGTTCTAAATATTGTAAAAATTAGTTCAGCGGCTTAAGCGTACAAAATAGTAGTATTTGCTTGGTTCATACTATACAAAAGTGGACCTCGTGGCTAATCGGTTACGGACCGTGAAGCTTACGTTGACGGGTTAAATTTCCGTTACCCGCCTATGGAAATAAACTTTTAACTTGCTTTCTGTCACGAATAGGGTTTGAAGATCAAACATTTCAGCTCTCATGTGACGGTTACGGTGAGATTTCACTGTTCAAGGACATATAGGTGACCAAAGATGGAAATTTTACCTCACCAATTCAGTCCCCATAGCGGTCGTATTAGAAATTAATCCTAGAAGTAGTCTAGACTGATTGCTGAGACCGTATAGAAAGGCTTATCGCTTTTTAAGAACGTTTCCTAAGTAAGACGTAGTTTTAGCATAGATACAAAAATTGTTGTCACATGTCTTATAAAAGTATTACTCTGTTTTTAAGATTTTATATCAATTTTAACGCTTGATTTAATCTTGCTACTTATGATTGTGTCAACTTAATCTTTGAAGCCTGCACGCGTCAAACCGACACCAAATTGTGAGAACTCCAAACGAACAAAAAAGAATCCCTAAAAATGCAAAGAAAACCTGGGAATCTCGGGGACAAGATCCTCCTCCTTTAATCATTTTTATTTCTTTGCTTAGAATATGTAATAACATATTCTTATATACATTATATAATTATCATTACGTATAGTTGCTATTGCTACATTTATAAAAAAATAGTTAACTCATTATTAAGAAAAACATTATAATATATTCGGTACATAAATTAGATTATTCTCATTACAAAGTAAATCAATAAAAAAATTAATAAAAAATTTCACGCTGTACGTGTCCAAATCATCTTAAATTGCTACTTCCGCTTAATGCTACCCGGCAGTGGCAATGAAAATTTGTTGGGTTGAATAAATTTATATTTAACAAGCTAAGATAGTCTTTATGACGTTAATGATAGGACCGATAATATCATAACTCTTTTTATACGACGACGCGCAGTCGTAGATTTGCCTGATTAGGTTCATCAGGTAGTTGAAGAACAAGTAAATTATTGGGAGTTGTAGAAACACCTTCATTTAGTGAAAACGTTATTTCAGGTCCAATATGCTGACAGGATGGAGACTGGCGTTATCGAAACGTGAGTATTTATTTTTAATTTTAAATAGTTGATAGTTTTTTAAAGATATTCACGTAAGGAAATAAGACAAATTACTTTAATTTACAATTATTTCGTACAATTTACAGATAAGCAAATTGCTTCTTAAATTTTATTTAATTTTCGTATATTATTCACAGTTGTATAAAGTATTTTTCATTGATATTTTAATAATTATTATGAATATTATTTTATTTGAGTGCTATTTTAATTATAAATATATAATTATTATTGAGGGATGCGATAAATTATATACTATGAGCTTTGGCTAATTTAAATTCGGTTTGAATAACATTTAGAAATTTGGCTCTTAGCAATAACTCATTGGTTATATAAATATACTAAATAATTAAGCTAAATTTTAAATAAGCTTAACATAGATTCAATCACGTAAAAATTCGTGGAAAAATTTCAATACTATTTAATATAATTAATGACAGTTCGGACGGGAGAAATTCTATTCGCATTATCATCAAATAAAACTAAGAGAGTTGCTTAAATCAAAATATTATGTTCCTTTATAATAATAATTTATTTATTGCAAGAATATGGTACAAAATGTTAAGGTGATACAATCGTAAATCGTACGCCTATTCTGCCACACACGATGGCGCGCAAATTTGTCTTAAAGAATTTTACATTATTAGTCAAAGTCAATTCTTATGTTATCTAGTCTATTATACTATATACATTACATCATTAATTTTATATCAATTACGGTGTTTACTGGCAGTAGTTTTGATTTTCGTTCCCTTGGCAATCTAATTATTGAAACTCCTTCTCATAAAACTGAATGCTATCACTCCTCCTTTACTGTGCTGCTTTGGAACTCCTTATCTCTTGACATTAGAAGTTTTTTTAACAAATTAAATGTTTTAAACATGCACTATATACCAAGAAATAATTGTAATCTAGATACCAAAAACACAGGTCTCTCTAGTGTGGGGGCTTACATTTGATCAATTTTGTCACAACCATATTTCTTTCATGAATAAAGTTTTATTATTATTATTGTGCTTGAAGATATGTGATGATGATAGATATATACAAGTCGTAAAATTAGGTTGAAACATCACTTGAGAATAACATTGTTTAGTAATAACCGGTTTAGATGATAAAAGCAATTTTAGTGCGGTCTACACAAATGAGTTTTGTATAAGAATTACGATAACTTCCTTTCTTTTTGTTCAACATTTTCCTGTAATGACAATAGCTAATAAATAAAATTAGAGAGGTGTCAAATAAATTTAAATTATTACCGTATTTATTTATGTCTATGTAAATTAGTAATTAATATAATATATTTTAACGTGTCTTAGTTCGTCTTAGTAATGTCCTGCTAATACTTATCCATACCAAAAAAAAGGCTACATCAAATAGTAGTCAGAATAGATGTTATAAATGTAAACAAAGTACTAAAAGACTAAGTTTCGCTCAAAAAAGCCCTAATAGATTCTGATATATGAAAAAATAAAATAAATAAAAGGCGCCACAACCTATATAGGTGGCCTCAGATTTCTGAATCTGTTTCATGATCATTTTTAAATCTAATAGGCAAGTAGGTGATCAGCCTCCAGTGCCTGACACACGCCGTCGACTTTTTGGGTCTAAGACATGTCGGTGTTTTCACCGTTCGAGCAAATGTTAAATGCTCACAGAAAAAAAGTCCATTGGTACACAGCTGGGGATCGAACCTACGACCTCAGGTATGAGAGTCGCACGCTGAAGCCACTACGCCAACACTGCTCTTGATGATCTAATTATTTGAAAACTCGCTACAATATAATGAATGAAAAGAATATACGATTTACGTGTAAAGATTAAGGGCAACATGAAAGCAACATCAATAAAATTATAGTGTTACATTAGCATTATAGACGCAAATTTTTCATGATAAATATTCTTTCAGTATTCATAATACCGCAGCGCTATGTGCTGGCTATAATGGCTTTGTTTGCCATAGCCAATGCATATACAATGCGTGTCTGTCTCAATATGGCGATCACACAAATGGTGAAGAAGAGAGATTCAGGCATTGGCAGTTCACATTACGACCCAGACGCTTGCCCAGATCCCAACACCTCGAATGCTACAATGACTCTTGCTAATTTCCTTTTGCGTGCGGATGGCGGAGTAAGTCTTATCTTTCTTTAATGCTTTATTATTATTGCAATTAATGCATCTTTTAATTGTCAACACACTTTTTTTTTAAAAAAGACAATTCACACCAATTGACCTAGTCCCATGCTAAGCTGGTGAAGCTTGCGTTATGGGTACTAGGCAACGGATATACATACATATTATACATAGATAGACCTAACACATAAAAATACATATTTAAACACCCAAGACCTAAGCACAACACCAAATGCTCATCACATCGATGTTCGTCTCAGCTGGGGATCGAACCCGGGACCTATGGATTCGCAGTCAGGGGTACTAATCACTAGACCAATGAGTCGTCTAATAATATATGATTAGGTGAACGACTTTAAACAATGGACCACCTTCTAAACAAAAATGTCGGTTACAATTGCTAAAGAAAACTGTTGTTACTGCACTGATAATATAATAATTAAAATGGAATCCTATAAATCAACAATGTTCCTCGCGCAACAAATTTGGATAGCGCCGTCATCTTCAAATCACGCTTTAAAGATTAAATTTTGTAAAATACGATTACATTAAAGTCTATTATATAAAAAAATGGAATACAATTTATATCACAACAACACTTGTTTTGAATTATAATAATTCAAACATTGAAGTCTGATTTTTAAGGTCACATTCTACTTTTTACTCGTATTATCTAAAACTCTAAAGTGCCCTGTAAACGATCAAATTGTTTGTCAAACTTCACGTTTTCATCAAACAATAGCTTAAACGATCAAACCAAATATCAATAAAATTTGTTAAATTTCTAGTAGATTCTGGTTTCTCCTTTCGTGACGTGACGTCGCCGTGCCGAGCGCGAGTAATTCAGATGACGCATTTTTGGCATTGACTCTAGCACTGTGTATCAAGACAAAAAAAAGAAGACGATGGAGTCGAGAATGGTTGAAATTAAGAAATAAATATACCTACGAGAATTTGCTACGGGAAATATTGCGTACAGAACCTGAAGACTACGCAAACTTCCTGCGCATGGACCATAAAACTTTTGAAGATTTACTGACTATACTGCGTCCTCGTATTGAAAAAAATTAAGTTCTTGTCCATATAATCTTTTGATTTTATTTTCCATAACATCGGCATATCACGATAAACAGATATGAAATGCAACGTAAATTCTTTGTTCGTAATATTGCCACATATGAATGTCAATACAACCAGTGAGATCTTGTTTGACAAACACCGCCGTACACGTTCAAACCTGTTTGTCAAACTCGACATCAATCCAGATTTTCATCAAACACGACAAACACGCAGATTGTTTGACAAACGCCTCAAACACAGCAGTACACTATCAAATAATTTGACAAACACGTAAAATTTGACAAACAATTTGATCGTTTACAGGGCACTTAAGAAGTTAAAGATAATGTCATTTATATGTTTATCTCTTACGTCAAATATTTGTAGTATGATTTTATCTGCATTGATTCTTTAATATTTTATTTGTTATGTAATGCTGATTATGATAACTGGTTTAACTATTGTGTAGTTCTAGGCAAGCACCTTTATTTTCAACACATTTATTACACTTGACAGTTGACTTACTATATACAGAACCATAGAATTCGAAGATCAATAATAATATAAAACGTGGTATTGTTACAATGATAATGTATTATTATATAGTATAGGTATATACCTATACTAAATATATAGTATAATATACCTCTTTATTAAAATCTTCTATAAACATTACCATTCAACCATAACAACAAGGTGCTTGGAGATACAGTATTTTTAAATCGAACCACTACACGACTAATATATAGAACACAAGAAATTACAATAGAAAAAAATATGGGGACTGCCTCTTTTATTGAGGGTCTCAAGACGGGGCACTTACGACACAACGGCTGTACGCCATACAAGTAACACAATATTTTAAAATACTATGTTGTATTTTATCAGGAGGAAAAGTTTGACTGGAGTGAAGCCACCCAAGGTTTACTTCTGAGTTCATTCTATTATGGATATGTTGTGACGCATCTGCCTGGAGGGATGTTGGCGGAAAGGCTCGGTGGAAAATGGGTGTTGGGACTCGGTCTACTATCCACAGCTATCTGCACATTGGTCACTCCATTTGCTGTTAAAACTGGAGGAGCTACAGCCTTATTCATTTTGAGAGTCATCGAAGGTCTTGGCGAAGTAAGTGGGTCTACGCAATGGTAAAAATAAAAATCGTTAAAGGCTAAATAACAGCTTTTTGACAGGGTTCAAAGTCCAATAGCAGTTTAATTTCTTAAGAAATTTTAATGTCATTTTCACGTTTTTAAATTTTTATAATAAATAAATTTGAAAAATTTACAGGGCCCAACAATGCCTGGGTTGATGGCTATGGTGTCAAAATGGTCACCAAAAGAAGAAAGAGCTAAAATGGGAGCCATTATATTTGGTGGAGCCCAAATAGGAAATATTGGTGGCTCATATTTTTCAGGCCTAATTATGCACGAAGGCAGTTGGGAAAACGTTTTCTACTTATTCGGCTCTATAGGCTTGGCGTGGTTTGTTATTTGGGTAAGTACCAACTAGTTTTTGCTAACAAAATATCACCGCGAGGCAACTTACGCTTCGGATTTTTCAGTTCATTTGAGCGATAATTTAATTCTATGCAAGAAGGTGATCCGTCTTCTGTATCATACACACGTTGTCGTTTGTGTCTGAAGCATATCAGTTTCCTCATTATATCTTCCGTTGTTAAAGTTAGTAAGCAAGGACTGAAGACGTAGATAAATTATCTTCAACGGGTCCCAACGCAAGGAAACGTAAATGTATTATAAAACTAAGTATATTTTTTTTTAATGTGACTAAAATAATTAATTGAGCTTTTATTTAAATCTTGAAATCGATGAGGGCAAAAAGAGTGTGTGCGAGAGAGGTTCTCCGAGAGCGAGAGAGCCATTTAAAGTTGACACTGACAATTATATTCTAGTTACGCTGGCCATAGACGGACCGCATGTTGCAGTCGATACCGACTGCTCTAAGCGGTCGCCGCACGGCGAACTGCAGTTTCCATACTAAATTCATATCCGCCATGCACGGACCGCTACAAGCCGGGTCCGGCAGCTCTAAGCAGTCGACCGCACGGCGAAACTCGACCGCAGAGCGACTGCTACGACCGCTCAGAAACTGGTCGTGCGACCGCTTAGAGCAGTCGGTATTGACTGCAATGTGCGGTCCGTCTATGGCCAGGCGGGAAATATTAATAAAATTTTTACACCTTCACAATTTATATAAACATTTGAATAGAAACATAGTCTCCTTTTAATCAAATATAAACTGGCCAACGCACGTAATTTAAATTAAAACAAAATCTTTATTACATATATAATGGAGATCAATATATAGCTTCAATTTTTCAGACTTTCCTCTGCTACAGTACACCAAACACACATCCGTTCATATCGGATGCTGAAAAGAAGTTCTTAAACGAAAATGTTGCTGCGCTTAAACACAACAAGGAGCAAAAACTCGACCCAGTGCCTTGGAAAGCTCTGATTCGATCATGGCCATTGTTGTCTCTTATCATAGCAGCTGTAAGTTTTCTTATTTATCATACTATAATAACAAAGCTCTCCCTATATTCATTTATGTAGACTTTTCCGATTATAAAGCTTCTTATCAAGGTTTATTTTTCAACCATTCCAGCAATGCAATAATTATTTACCAAAGGCTGCTTATCTAATTTTTACTAATAATTAAGTAAATAAGAAATATAGTTTCATTTCTACCTACTCTAAATAAATTTAAAAAGAAATAATTATAATAACATGGCTTGAAAGTCGTGTTGCAAAATATAGAACTATATACGGAGAGTGTAAGACAAACTCATAATATTTGGTACGTTGTTACACTCTTCGCAGATGAAATTATGAGGATGCTTTAAGTCAAAGTTTTCAAAGTTAGTAGTCAAACAAAATTGCGACGTGAAGGTGAAGGTTCAAATACACTCGGCGTCAAATAAATCGCACCTTTCCTAAAATTCGTGTCATGCGATTATAACTACGAAGATCCTTCCTGTTGATAGGGTATCAATATTAGTATCATTTGAAAGCTGATGAAATCCCTTATTTGAAAACGTGATGCTCATCAGATCCATGATTGACCGCTTGGAAACTGGTCGGAGGGCTAGAGGAGGCATCACTAGGTTTTAAGACAAATTTTTAAGGATAGTCATTGTTTATTTTTAATTTTTGTATTGGTACTTTTATTTGTAATTTTGATCAGAATACACATTGTTTCACATTTTCCCAGAATTTACTTTTTTTATGGGGGTGGTGGCCAATTTCCTACCGTTTTCTTGATACCCTATCAACAGGAAGGATCTTCGGAGTTATAATCGCATGACACGAATTTTAGGAAAGGTGCGATTTTTTTGACGCCGAGTGTATATAATAACTAATTTCAGATCGGTCACGATTGGGGATACTTTACGATGGTTACTGATTTACCTAAATACATGACAGATGTTCTGAAGTTCAATATTAAATCTACTGGAACTCTCTCTGCCGTACCTTATGTAGCGATGTGGATTTCGTCTTTCTTCTTTGGTGTATTGTGTGATTTTTGTATCAAGAAAGGTTACCATAATATTAGGAATGCTAGAAAAATTTACACAACTATCGGTAAGTAAAGCATGAAACATTTTGATATTTTTGTGTCCGAAGATTATGAAATGAATGTATACAAAATGCAATAAATGTTAACATGACCGTGAACAAAAATATTGTGAATTCTTTTAATCAGAAGGTATAAGGTGGACAAAATTATAACGAACTGAGAAGGTACAAATTGAAATTTCGTAAAGTTTAAATTGACTTGTAGTTTAAAACTATGGCTTACATCAAGTAAGGTTTTACAAATAATTTTAATACCTCCATTTCGACTGGTATGCATTTTATAAGAGACACTTGTAAGAAAGTTTCTGTTAAGCATCTCTTGTTGCCAAAGTCTAGTGAATTATATAAAATCCAGTGGCCAGCTATGACCCTCTATCGAACATCTTACTTCATTATGTTCTTTTTATTGTTTAATTTTATACGCAATTTTCTATCAAATAGTTTTATAACCCCTGTTGTACACACTTACATTTTGTATATTTTATATTTTTAGCTGCTACTGGACCCGGTATATGTATAATCATGGCTTCGTATTCTGGCTGTGACAAGACCCTAGCAGTGTTTTGGTTCATAGCAGCTATGACACTTATGGGCGCTTACTACAGCGGAATGAAGGTTAACGCTCTGGATATAACCCCTAACTACGCCGGTACCACTACAGGTCTAGTAAATGGAATTGCAGCTGTATCTGGCATCATTTCACCATACTTAATAGGACTTTTGACTCCACAAGTAAGATTTTTTAATTATTAGTTAGAAGACAAACAAATAGTCTTTTTTAAATTATAAACTATTGATTGATTGTTAATTCATATTTGATGTACCCTTTAATTGTTTTTATCTGAACAGTCTACAACATTTATACTTTTTATATATTTACGTAAGTAATCTATTTATTTACCTAATGTCAACTTCATTTCCAGTCAACGCTCAAGCAGTGGCGTGTCGCGTTTTGGGTCTGTTTTGGATTATTGGTGGTGACTAACGTTGTTTACCTAATATTCGCGAAAGGGGAACAGTTATGGTGGGATGACGTCAAGACAATGGGGTATCCAAAGGGTTGGAAACATGGACCGTTGCCAACGAGGAAAACGGACGTTGAAAAGGAAAAATCTAAAGAGGAAGTTAAACAATAAACAGACTGATAATGACATAAATGTAAATATATTTTTAGGATATTCTTAATTTTGTCCAAATATTTTTTGTTAGTTGGAAAGTGACAGTGTCATTTGGAAATGTATATAATATAAATAAGAATTAAATAAATAATTTAATATTGTTATGTATTTCATTTATATAGAAATATTAAGTAGCTACAGTAAAACAATTTTCACCATTAATTATATTTTGTTAAGGTAGCGTGTCAAATTAAAAAAAAAATATGATTAAAATCAAACAAATACCTAAGAATTTTTGATACCTTTATATTGCTTCACTCATGCAATTCTCAAACAAACATATATATGTACATAAATAGCCTGAGATTTTATTTTATGTAATTGATTTTGTATTAATACATTATTTTTTAATATCCTTACTAATTTATCGATAGTGTTTTCTATTTACTTAAATGGAGTAAGGAGAGGGGGGGGGGGGGGGGGGGGGGGGGGGGGGGGGGGGGAGCCCCCCCCCCCCCCCCCCCCCCCCCCCCCCCCCCCCCCCCCCCCCCCCCCCCCCCCCCCCCCCCCCCCCCCCCCCCCCCCCCCCCCCCCCCCCCCCCCCCCCCCCCCCCCCCCCCCCCCCCCCCCCCCCCCCCCCCCCCCCCCCCCCCCCCCCCCCCCCCCCCCCCCCCCCCCCCCCCCCCCCCCCCCCCCCCCCCCCCCCCCCCCCCCCCCCCCCCCCCCCCCCCCCCCCCCCCCCCCCCCCCCCCCCCCCCCCCCCCCCCCCCCCCCCCCCCCCCCCCCCCCCCCCCCCCCCCCCCCCCCCCCCCCCCCCCCCCCCCCCCCCCCCCCCCCCCCCCCCCCCCCCCCCCCCCCCCCCCCCCCCCCCCCCCCCCCCGCCCCCCCCCCCCCCCCCCCCCCCCCCCCCCCCCCCCCCCCCCCCCCGGCCGCCCCCGCCCCGGGGCCGCGCGGGGGGCCCCCCCCGCCCCCCCCCCCCCCCCCCCCCCCCCCCCCCCCCCCCCCCCCCCCCCCCCCCCCCCCCCCCCCCCCCCCCCCCCCCCCCCCCCCCCCCCCCCCCCCCCCCCCCCCCCCCCCCCCCCCCCCCCGCGGGGCCCCCCGGGCGGCCCCCGGGCCCCCGCGGGGGGGGGGGGGCCCCCGGGGGGGGCCCCCCCCCCCCCCGCCCCCCCCCCCCCCCCCCCCCCGGGGCCCCCCCCCCCCCCCCCCCCCCCCCCCCCCCCGCCGCCGCCGCGCCCCCCCCCCCCCCCCCCCCCCCCCCCCCCCCCCCCCCCCCCCCCCCCCCCCCCCCCCCCCCCCCCCCCCCCCCATTTACTTAAATGGAGTAATTAGCTCAAAAATATAACTAGTCTGGCCATAAGTTCTGTTACAAATGAAAATGCATTCTTTTCAACTTTTTAATTATTTTGAATTTGGAACACGTATATTAGTTTAAAAACTCCATTTGATTTACGCCATTTCAAATATTTTTTCGGTTTAATTATCAAATTACCATATGGAATGAGGTGTTAAAGAAAAAAGGATTGCAGTGATCGCCTTGCACAAAAATATACCGTGGACTTTGCAGCAGGATTTTGCACCTGCTCACAAGGCACGAACTACTTAAGCCTGGCTTGAAACCAACGTTCCGCACTTTATAAGAGCTGAATACTGGGCTTCATCATGCCCAGACCTCAGTCAAAAGTCAAAATCATTTATTCATATAGTTAACACAATATACACTTATAAACGTCAAAAAATAAATAAATATTAAATGCTTCTAATTTTACATTTACTGCCAGTTCTCATATCAAGGGCGTAGAACGGAAGAGAAGAACTGGCAATAAACTCTCCGCCACTCTTTTTAATTGCCAAGTTTTTTGTTTTACACAATGTTGAGCTGCAACCATTACACCATGTTCCACGTGGCATCTTAAGTAATCATAACTAATAAAATAAATTAAAAACAAAGATTTGTTCTCTATCAGGAAGAGGCATAGTGAAATAGGAGCCTGCAATTACATTCTCGTGGGAACAACAGGCAAATACATTGTCAAAATAACTAACATCACCGCATACACGAATTCAAGTCCGACCAGTCACCACAAGTAGTAGTCAACCCTTTAGACTTTAAAATTATGGTCAGTTTGAGAGGACATGGCCTGCTCTAAACGACACGGCGACATTAAGTCTCTTAATAAATATTTGGAGCAAGCAGTGGGAAAATTTCCCTTGGAAACAGTGCGTGAATCCATAGATTTTAGGTTTGGTCTAAGGCCCGTCTAAAAGCCAAAGGTGGCCATTTCAAATAGAATGGCTGAGACTTTAATAAATATGTAGGTATAAATTTTAATAATATGGCATTGCTTTATTTAAACTTATGGAAGGACTAGGTATATAAATCTTTATTTTGTTTGGATTTTTTCCTATATTGGCATCATCTTACATACTATTAAAACTATAACCCACTGAACGCGATCTACATAACAGCTAAAATACATAATCGTTATAATTCACCTTTAAATTATGTATATATCTTAATTGATCTTCGTCATTATAATAAAAATGTATAATGATAATTTCACAAACATCCTGAAACAAACAATAAAACATCTAATTATTTTTATTAGTGAACATTAATTGCCACAGATATGTTAAATTTATAATTTAAAATAATGTAAGAAAATAATGCATAGGAGAGTGCCTGCATCTGGTTATAATCTCTTGATGTAACTCCGGTTTAGGAAATTGCAACGCTTCTAAAACAATTTTTTAGAAAAATCTATAATAAACATAGTATGAAAACGTGTCTTACAAAGCCATGTCTTGTTTTGTATCAGACCCCTCGTAACGAAACATCAAAACAGGTTTAAAACCCCAGATAACGGCATTACAAGTGATAATCTCTCACTTGAAAACACTTCAGGTATGTTACGTCACGATGGATTTTGTAAGAAATTGACACAATCGAAAAAAAATTAATACCACTTTTGATTGTGTCATTTTTATCACACTTTGTATATCACTATCGGCGCGTGTAGATTACAAGGGCTTTTAAACCTGCCCCTAATCGTAAGCGCCTACTTTGCCTATGATTCTGCGAAGTAACTCTCTTCTGTCACATACGCATAATGATAGATGAGAATTCGTTGGCTCTTTGAAAATCTCTGAATGTGTCATATGTATTACAAATCAAAAATTGGTAAACATAGGTTTTGTTTACATAATATTGAATTATTGATATATAAGTCCCATTAACTTCCCAGAGGGCATATCTAGATGTGCGGCCATTTCACTTTATTTTCTATTTTCTTTAACTCCATTTAAGTACATAGAAAACACTATCAATACATAAGTAGGGATATTATAATATTTATTCAAAATATATAACTCAGGCTACTTATGTCTATATGTTTGTTAGAGAAGTTAAATTTTATGTGTCACTAGCCGTTTCGCGCCCGCTTTGCTGGACGAATTAAAATAAATTTTATGTTTCATTATTTTATTTTTTTTCATATTTTTATTATTCTTCTTTTTAACTTCCCGCTAAGAAAATTGAAATATTTCGAAAATCGAGTTTTTAACAGATGTTGACGTTTAGAGGTTCTAGGAAGCCTCCCCGAATGTTTCCGCGGTGAAGTCCGTATGGATAAATTTTCATAAAAGTAAAACAGCAATAAAAAAATGAAGGAACGTTGGAATTTAATAAATAAATAGCCATAAACCATCTAGGAAAAATAGTTTCATGTCGATACGATCAGTGGTTTAGGCGTGAAGGAGCCTCAAACGAAGACCATTTTTCTTTTATATATATAGATATAAATAAAAGGTATCAAAAAAATCTTTGGTATTTGTTTGATTTTAATCATATTCTATTTTTAAAAATCTGACATGGTACCTAAACAAAATATAATTAATGACGAAAATTGTTTTTTTTTTCTTACTATTTCTACATAAATGACATAATGTTCAATTATTTATTTAATTCTTATTTATATTATATTCATTTCTAAATGTTACTGTCACTTTCCAACTAACAAAAAATATTTGGAAAAAAATTAAGAAAATCCTAAAAATATATCAGTCTGTTTATTGTTCAACTTCCTCTTTAGATTTTTCCTTTTCAACGTCCGTTTTTCTCGTTGGCAATGGCCCGTGTTTCCAACCCTTTGGATACCCCATTGTCTTGACGTCATCCCACCATAACTGTTCCCCTATCGCGAATATTATGTAAATAACGTTAGTCACCACCAATAATCCAAAACAGACCCATATTGCGACACGCCACTGCTTGAGCGTTGACTGGAAATGAAGTTGATATTAGGTAAATAAATAGATTACTTACGTAAATATATAAAGTATAAATTATGTAGACGGTTGAGATAAAAAAAAATAAAAGGGTAGATCAAATATAAATCAATCAATCGTTTAAAATTAAAAAAAACATTTAATTAAGCAATTTATTTGTTTGTTGATATGGCGAATTAAGTTTATAAATATTTAAGAAAACCATTCGAACGTTCATTTAGCATAATCTGGGATACATGTCCATAATAAAATCTTGTGCGATTGTTGCCAGACAGCTGCGATAAATAAATAATGTAAAAAAAATACGCAAATTTAAGACACAATACAGCCCATACAATATCAGCAGAAATACATGAGATTAGGGGTAAAGAGAAGATATATGCTGCGCAAATAATAAAAGTTATAATGTACAAACACTTTGTTATTTAATATTTATATTTCTTTAGATGAAGCGCGTATAGAAAATATCAAATATACGCAAATATGTTGCAATTATTTTAGTCTAGTCGACAAGTTGAAAATGGAACAAAATAGAGATACTGCTCTTAAAATTATGTGCGATAGCTCATTGGATCCGGAATGACGTCTAGAAAAATGTGCTAAAAGCGTGTATTAGCACATAAAAAATTGCAAAAATTATAGACAATTAAAGATGAAAAAACAATGGCATTTAGTTTTTTACCAATATTTAATAAACTATTAATATTTAAGAAATTTCAAATAAAGATTCTGAA